CATCAGCTGTCTGAAAAATCCTATAAAATATTGTAGCTCAAAGCTTATTTCTACAAAGCAATTTACCCTATTCAGACTTACAAAAACAACGTTAACACTTTTTGATCTTAGAATGATATATACTAAACTCTGCATTAAAACAGGTATAAAGATTTCTGTGATACCTTTAGGAAACACAGTGAGGTGTAAATCCCTGGAACGAGATAAACCATTCCAAAGGGATTTCCAAGGGAAAAGCACTTTGTAACACCATAATCAGGAATTCAAAAGATCAGTCACTGGCAGACCAAGTCAGATAGAAAGTACATTTCTGTATTCAAGATCTCTGAAGAAACCCTTAAACTGTGAAATACATGTTACAGGAAGCTTCTGCCCCCAGTCATACCCCATTTTATCTCCTCATCTTTTCTAAACTGTCAGCAACTGTTCTTCTGACAAGCACCCTGCAAACAGCTTTTCAATTGCACCAGAGAATCTCCAAACACACTGGAAAGTTACAGTCATATAAAGCTCTTCCAGCTTATAAGGCCACACTCCAGTTACACAAGATTTGTAAGTTTGCTAACAAGGCTATGGAATTTCTGGTTGGCTCCTTTGAATGTTGAGAGTTCAGTTTGGATTTGGCATATGGATTTCAATCTGCAAGGGGTCCCCAAAAATTCTACCACTGGGAATGACTAAAGAGCCCTACCCTTCCTGCTCACAGCCCTTCTGGCAGCTCCACATACCATGTTTATGTTCATTTTTTAGTAGCCTGCAGCAGGAATTAGTTTGAAGATAGCACAGCCTGGAAGAGCTCTATCCTTTCAGCTACTAAGCATCAATGAAACAGTTTGCAGGAAAAGGTACATCTGATAAATGGAAAAAAAATTAAAGCCAAGTCCCTCCTAAATTAACCACCATGCATCATAGAGAAACCTTTGAACTGCTGCAGTCTACGTTAGCTTTTGATCTTCCTTAAACTGCTAGTAAGAACGCAAAACTTAAATGACAAAAATCAGTAAGTTTAAAATGTGCTAAAATGAACAGAATTTCTGCTCAAAATCCTCATCATTAATAATGATTGCCTATCTCACTGCAGGAAAAAAAAAAAAAAGTAAGTCCTTAGAAAAGCTGAATGCTAATTTTAAAGCAATCAAAAATGCATAGATGTTTTAAATTACAAGAAATGGCTCTGCAACATCTTGACTATTTAAACAGAAGCAGATGGTTTATATGGCTTTAGTGTTTAATTAAACATTTTATATATTCTATAAAATGATATCTGATGGCATTCTTTCCAATTGGCTTTCTAAATTTAAATTAAGAAGTAATTTTATGTATGCAACATAACCTGCAAATTAATTCAAATATTCATACCCAATACTAACTTAACAGCCTAGTGTCTATTTTCTGATACATGTGAAAAATTGAACTGTCCAGCTCCTCTGATTTCTTTTTCATTATAATACTAATGTTTTTTCAGAATTCTACTGGGTTCCTTTATTTTAAATAGTCCTAATTTAACAGCCAGTGGTGTAGATTTCTCCTTCCTATCCCCTTTACTAAAGCAGAAATAGTGAAACAGGAAAAATATGATGGATTTTATTTTATGAAGACCTTAAAACCAAGACCTCTAAACAAGATGTAGGTATGGAGGCTACTATGATATAAGGGTACAACTACTGATAAGTGTGAAAGATTTGAGAGAGATTATAACGAAGGTTTAAAGAAATTGCTTAGAATTCATGTCATGAAAGACAACTGATACAAGGTATGCAGTCCCCAGCTTCCACAGGCAAAAATAAAATCAGGTTACATCGCTCCACAAAGTCACAACCATGCACTTAGAAGAAAAAGACGGATGCAAAGAGAAGGCTGAGCATAGTGCGTAAAGCTTTGATAGTATCTTTACCAAGTACAGATTTGATATGGTAATTCCAGCAAAACGAAAGGTTTCACAATTATTATTTATAGTTGTTGGCACTGACTTTTTAAAGCTGATTCAAAACAAACACAGTAAAAGGCAGAAATAGACAAAACAACAACATAATCACTAAGCCAGGGGCCCATTTAACTGTATGACTACTGAAGACAATCTTAGATTAGAATGAACTTCATTCTGTTCTCACAGATTATAGTTCAAATTGGCAAGAAAAGGCAACATCACTCTGGGCATAAATGGCGCTGCTCACTTACACTTCAGTATGATCTTCACGTAAGCAGATGACAAACGCCTATCACAAAGTGAAGCATAATGTTGCTTTTAAGTGACTTGTGAGTCACGTAAAGTCATTAGGGTCGCAAGTCATTACATTCTCCACATCAATCAAAAGCACTAGCATTTAGGGATGTTGCATGTTTCAAGCTATAGCAGCTTTTCCTGGTTGTTTCTGGGCACTTGTTCAGGGTCCTCACTCCTCTTGACCCACACAACTCTATAGCCATGAGCAGGGGAGTAAACCAAAACAGCGGTAGGTATTCCTTAACTAATGAAATACAGCTACGTTACAGAACAGCTCTTACATGCCTAGTACAGTGTAGAAAGAAAAAATAACCCTATTTTCCCATCTAGACATGCAGACGTGAATTTTGATTTAAATTATCAGTTTAAAAAAAAAAAAGGAAATCACCATGAAACAGAAAAAGTGAAGCATTTTATTGAGTAAATCAGAGTAACAACATGAAAAAAAGATGCAGTAATACCATAAAACTAAGATAGATAGCTGCTAAAGGGATCAGAATTCTTAAGACTAATGCCTGCTCCCCATCTCCTTTAACACTCAAATTAGGCATTCAACACCCTGGCAAAAAGAACAGCAGATATCAAACTCGCTATCATTAGGAATTAAAGCAAATACTTTAGTGGTATTTTTAGACTTGCATCATTTTCAAAAACATAACATTAATTTACCCGAAAGTTACTATTAAAGTTTTAATCATGACTAAAGATCAAGAAATGCCTGCTCTTGTACTCTTCTAGCTAAACAAGAGAGCTTTTCCAGAATACATCACGCACTGACATCTAAGCTTCATGCGTTCAGAGAGAACTCATTTCACTTACCTAGCAGTTGCTTATATTCCTCTTAGCGAAGCTTGGCCTGAAAAAAAAACCCAAAGAAATACTTGACAGTTAATTACTTAAAAGTAGTGTCAGACTGATACATTTCATGTTTTAGCATGCATTCTTTCGTTAATACCCCTGAGAGACTACATGTATCAGCATGTGCCAAATGAACGTCTAATGAAAGCAGGACAACATCCCCACCCCATCTGACAGATCCCAAGTTAACTGAATACACACATAAAGAAGTAAATGTTGCCACAAAAAGACAGTCCTTCTATAAGAAGTCTCATTTAAATTCTGAAAATTGAAAATTAAAACTAAAGTAACCATCCACTAAGGTACTTTGGCACATAACCATTAGGAAGGAAATGTGAATGTTTCAGCAGATACGGTTTTCAGCATTCATCTGACAGATGTTTTGATTTCTGTAAGTTTGTAATAACATGAAAATTATAAACTAATTTCTCGGGTACACTCTACTGAGGTACAATAGTTTCGTCTTTGTTGACTAAACAAATTTTTCCCCAGAACATTACACAATGGAATATTTGTTCAGGTAGCTAAGCCTGAGAAGCAAACACAAAAAGCATGAATCAATTTCACTTTCAACAATGCGCCATAGGTGCTTCTATGTCAGTTGCATCGGCTGAAGCATCTAATTCACATTTGGTGCTGCCTGCATAAATGAGTAAGCTCAGAGAGTGAACCCTAAGTCTTCATGATACAATTTCAAACAAAGCAAGTGCATGGTGGGGGAAACTGCAAGAAATTCTGTGTTACAGATACTCCAGTATAATCCAGAATTATCTTTGAAACAGAAAATTCTTGCAAAGACTTCTTGCAATGATTATGTACTTGAGGTCCTCCTTTCCAAGTCCTGTTCATAAAACCGAATGTGTTTTGTCTCCAGAAGTAAAAACTGGTAACAAGCTCAATAGCTCTTTACCATACATAACTTCTGAAAGAAGTCCACCCCACCTCAAAACACCCTATCACATCCCAGGCCTTCATAGGCCTCGTACTGGACTTAGGTGTTAGCCTAACCTCAGTGAGGAGGCCCACCCCAGCGCCCTCCAGGCAGGATCCTTGTTCTTTGCTCTGCTCTCCTCTGCCCAGTGGGAATAGCTGCGTTCAACGGGAAACCTCTGGCAATGTCCCAGGCCTGTTTTGAGAGATTTATGCCAATGTGGACTTGTGTCAGGACATACAAGCAACTACCTGCAGCAGACCCACCACAGTGCCTCCTGCCCTGGGGTCCTCTCTCCACCACCAGCCTCACCGAGGCGAGTGCAGGTGCACCGAAAAGCCCCTGATGAAACTAACGTTTTTACAGTCTTTTGTCTGCAGACATGTGAGGCTCCAGGCTCTGGACACAGACTGCAGTGCCTGAGGGCCGCTCTCCTGAGCAGCACCACTGCGCAGGACACCAGCGCCAGGCCGAAGCGGGCCCAGCCCTGGAAAGACCGATCCGCGACCGAAACACCCCGGCAGGGAACGGCTGGGAGGAGTCGAGACCCCGCCCGAAGCGGGCGCGGCGGCCACGTCAGCCCCGGAGCCGCCCCGCCTGCCTCCGGCCCAGAGCCGGATCCCGCCGCGGGCCGCCCTTCCGCCCGGCGACGGGGTGAAGGCGCCGCAGTCCCATGTTGCTCTGCGCCGGGCCCGCTCTCTCAGCCGGCTCCCGCTGCTCTGAGCCGATAGCCGGTGCCGCTGCTCGCCCTGCAGCCCGGTAAAGGCCGCGCAGCTTCTCTGCAGCTCGCCCGGCACCGAGGCCGTGCCGGCGGGGAGGGGACCGCACATCAATCCCGCCCTGGCGGGTGTTCCTCGCCTCACACCCCTTCTCCCGCCGCAGCCCGGACACCCCCCTCCTCGCAGGGCTCTTACCTTCGGCCTCGCCGTGGTGAGCGGTACCCGGCGGCGCATCTCCAGCCGGGTCGTGGGCGGGCGGCCCCTGCAGTCTGCCCGGCTTCAGCTGCCGGGAGTGTCCGCCGCCTCCTTGAGGAGCAGCCCTCCGCCCCAGGAGGCTGCTGGCGCAGAGCTACCGGGGCCTTTCTGAGAAATGTCCCCCCGCGGCACTAAAAGTAAGTTCGAAGGAAAAGCGAGCCATACTAAACGCGCTTTTACTAAGGTAGTGTGCCAGCATTCAGTGTCAGTCAGGAAAGCTCTGCGTGATTACCTCATTCACAGTATACCTAATAAAGAGGTGATCTGTCACTTCTGTGGTCTTCGGAAAGCAGGAAATCAGGCATCAACAATGTTCGTGTGTAGGCTGCACAGGCTGGCAGTAGCGGCCTTTACTGAGATACATTTTTTGAATAAGTAGGTAAATGTACTTAATTGGTTTTTCTACCTTCTTATAGGTTGTAACTTTTGCAAGGCTTGTGACTTGAAGTAGGGCAACCAGTATTTTGAAGAGCTCTGTCATAAGTACAGCTGTATCTCTGAAAGTCCGCGCATTTACTGGAGAATCTTCCCAAAGCTTGCTCAAATCGGAACCCAGAAATTTCCCAAAATCTTCACAATGGAGTTCTTGGTATCCAAAGGAGACTGTGTTAGATGTTCCAAAAAATCTTTATTGCTACTTTTAGTATGTGTCATAGTTCTTGTGTGCACTGATCAGGACTACTATAGTTTACTTGGAGTGTCCAAAGAAGCAAGTAGTAGAGAAATACGACAAGCATTTAAAAAACTGGCACTGAAGTTGCACCCTGATAAAAATCAGGTAAGTTACATCTTTAACAGGTTAAAGCTGCTGGATTAATGGGTCTTAATGTTTAAACAGAAAGTGATTTCAATTTATCAAAAATGTTTCTCTGTTCCTGCGAAGTAGTGTAACCACCTGATAACATGTTCAGATTTCCTGCAGAGATTTACCAAACAGGACTGGTCATACATGATTGTGTTGAATATAAAATTGCTATAGTAAAGAGTCAAGATAGCTTAATTATCAATTCTGTTGTGCAAATAGAGAAAAACTTACTTCTGTACCATATTACCTTCTTGATAAACTGATGAGTTTGTCTGTTTCTGTTTAGCTTAGGTGAACTTACTATTTCCCTAGCATGAAGCATCATCTAAACAGCAAACACCACCAGCCTGTACTGAGGCATCAATCTCCAAGTATCAGATAGGACGCGGCAGAAATTCTGGGACTGCCAAGGCATAACAAGGGAGGGTAATAAGGAGCTCTAGAATAACTAGAGAGAGAAGACAGGGAATGGCTCAGTCTGTGCTACAATATTTTCTGAAGTGCAATGAAATCACTTTAAAATTTAAACATTTTTCCTCGAGATTTCCTAAAATAATCAGAAATTCACAGGAAGTGTGAGGGTTTGGATCCTCATATGTGCAACCACATCTGCAAGAGCCCAAGAAGACAGTGATGTTCCTTATGAGCTCAGGGACTGCCTGCACAGAGTACGTTGAAGCCCCTGCGGTGGTAATGGTTTACAATGGAAAGCTCAAAGAGAAAGCCAAACCTCACGAAAGCTAGAAATGCCAACTTGTAGCTATTGGCTGCAAATTTTGTTTTACCTATGTTAATACTTTTAAAATAATAACATTTTGGGTCAGATTCTGTAGTTCCCAAGTATGAGAATACTACTAAAGATTTTTCAATGGGTTATTTTCAACGTTAAAGATGATCTATAGAAGATGAAGTCATTAAACAAATTCCATAATGTTAATTCATTTCCTGTGTGTCTACGTAAAGAATTCATGATTCTTTAAGAAAAAGTGTCTCTTGAATGAAATGTGTAAGCAGAAGTTAAAAGGGTGGGAGAGAACTGCAGGTACTGCTCACCACCTTTATATTGCACCAGCTGAGAACTCAAACCGGCATTCAAAATATGTCTACAGATTTTTCGCTGTTCTAATTCCGAGGTACCTAGAGCCAGAATGTTTTTTAAATAAAAAGGGGGCCTCTGTCTATACCGGATGAGAAGGGATGAGTTTATAGCAGAGATTTTCAAACTGGACAAGTGGAGATTCTAGGGAAGTAGAAAAGATTATAGAGTAAATGGTAAGTCATCATTCTTGAGGGGGTTTCTTTTATTTCTATTGAAAAGAGCTGAAAGAAGAGGCATCACTGGAGAATGTTATAGCCTCCTGCCCCTTCCCTTTCTATTTCAGTTGGTACTTTAGTGAGGATGAAGAGATGAGAAGACACGTGGCTTCAGGAAAGGAAAACTTTACTGTAGTTTGTTTGGAGATCACCATGTAAAGTCTGCTTCCATCACAGCTGACATCTTTAGTAGGGATATAAAAACATTTCCAGATTACTTTCTCAGCATTATGTGTACAAGATGGTTCATTAATTGCTTACTAATTATACTTTGCCTTGCATAGAACGATCCAAATGCACATGAAAATTTTTTGAAAATAAATAGAGCATATGAAGTACTTAAAGATGAAGATCTACGGAAGAAGTATGATAAATATGGAGAGAAGGGTCTTGAAGATCAGCAGCAAGGAGGTCGTTATGAAAGCTGGCACTATTATCGCTATGACTTTGGTAAGTTACGATGTATGTTTGTGATTTGCTTGAAGTCACAAGTAAATACAGTACTTACATCAGAAACACATAAAAAGATCTGATACAGATCTGTCCTCTTCAGATTTCTGCCTTCTCTGTCTTCCTGTAGCTGTCATTTTCTGTTGACCCAGTCTTTTATTTACCCTGTTAATGTTTACTGGTAAATCTAATAATCTATTTACTTAGCCTTTTGTTCCTGCTGGTTATCTTTCGATTGGTCATCCAGTTTCTTGGGTTTTGTCTTGGTTTGTTGGTTGGTTTTTAATGCAAAGCTTTTTTTCTTTCTTTGTTTTCCTTTTTCTCACATAAATTCCAGTGTTGATGTTTTGTCAATATTATTTTTAGTTCTTTAATGCAGGAAGACCTTTTTTGTCTAGGCAAGTTATTCTTAAATGGATTTTGAGAGATTTTTGCACTGTCAAGCCTATTTTCTATGCAATTATACATTTAAAGATCAGTACAGAGGTAGTGGAAAATGAAAAAATAACAGAATCATACCTGAAATGATCCTGAGACAAGTTAATGTTTGTCTCAACAAATTTTAGGTAGTTGTAGGGAAAGGTTGGGATGAGCCACTCTCAAGGCTGCTGTAACAGGAGTGGGCTAAAATAGGGAGCTGAGGAACACAGTTTGATTGATATGAAAGAAAAAGCTGAAATAAACCTCCACCTTGGAAAAACTTTATTTTCTGGTGTAGTTTGATTTAATATGGCTCAGTCTCTACAAAATTAATGTCTGCAAATTAAAATTGAATAAGCCAGATGTGCAACTATCATAGGAAAATATGGAAATTATCCTAAATTTTCTTGAGATAAACATCTGCCTGAAGTTGCACTGCTTGATTAAGAAACAATATCCTTGAATGTCTATTAACCAGTTGGGAGAGTATCTGTATATAATTTTCATATTGTGTATGTGTATACGTGTGAAAATAAGGTATTTTGTATGTGTGGATGACTCTGTGTTATATTACATGATATGTAAATGGATAGTAATATAAGAAGTACCTTGTCACTTGTAGAAATTAATTTCTCTCATTGTCTATTTGCATTTAATCCTTGTATACCTCAGGTGAAATGGCATCTCACTCACCATGTTAGGTACTGTAAAAGATCTGTAGCCATAGTAGCATAATATAATGCTGTCTAATAGTATTTTTGGTACCTCTGCACTTTCTTGCATACTTGAAGTAGTAGATTGTTTTGTAGCGATGTTTTAAGTAGGATCTGATTACCTTTTTAGAAAAGGTCTCTTCCTTACCTTTATTCTGTCCACTTTATTCCACTGCATTCACACGTCCTGCTAGTGGAAAAACTTGTGGCTGAAATGCCTTTATGATCTAAATAGCTTAGATAACCAGAGGCTGAGAGAAGTGAAAGTTTCCAGACATTTTGATCTGACAACTGGTTGATGGTTTCTCTTGCTGTAAGAGTGGTAGTTCAAGTTCTCTTTTGTTGACGTGTGAACTAAACACCAAAATAACTGTTCTGTTCTGATGGTAGCCTTTGTAGCATGATGGTGTGGGAGTTAGCAAGAGATAAAACTAAGTTTACATATTACTAAACAAATATAGCTTTGTTGTAAAAACACTATCTTTGCCAGCTTACTATTTCGATTTAAGTGTACTGTCTTCTGCCTTGTGAATAAGGTGATAGTTTGTATCTTTATTTTAAAGATGACAAAAATAAAAAGCAATTGCTTGTTTTCTTAATAGGTATTTATGATGATGATCCTGAAATTATAACACTGGATAGGGGAGAATTTGGTAAGTTTGAAATAAATAGCTATGTATTTGACAATGTGGCAACCCAAAGTAAGAATTTTTACATTCTGAGCTGTATCTCTATAGACTTCTATTACATATCTACAAAAAAATCATTGTTAGATGAGAAAACAGAAAAAAACAAACAATGCTTCATGGTAAATAGTAGTTAGCAAATATATAAGTATCAATATACAGCTTAAGTATAAAAGATACTTTGTGAGACCTGAAAGAGGAATTTGAATTAAAATTTTGTTTCTCCTACTTTATCATTACAATTTTTTGGTCTCTTGTCTAAAAATGCACTTTGCAGGACTTTTTTATTATAGTTCAATTATTTCTCTTTTCTGTGAAATCCAGTCAATTTTGCCTTGCATGACAGGTTCAAGTCTAGAAGGTGATACCCGATACTACATCCATAGCTAAATAAAACACAGTCTGGAAAGATAACACTTTCAGTGAGGATATCATCCAGTTGTCCTTGGGTTGTTTTTTTTTTGTAGCTAAAATGCTTACAACTAAAAAAAAGATACTGTAGAGAAAAAAAAATACCTGATTTTGTTGTAGTTTTAATTTTTTCTCTGCAGTTTGAGTGCTCTTTCCTTTGTATGGGCTGGACCTCCATGCTGAGCCAGTTTTGGAAAGTGTTTTAATAGCAGAACCTCATGATGCTCCTCACAACAACATGGTCTTGCTTTGGTTAATTAATTTGCATAATCTACGCACTCCTTAGCTGTCTTGTTTGTGAGGGTATTTTAATATGGGAAAATATCAGTTGGGAAATTCACTATAAAAATTATGTCCAAAAATAGAGAGATTGAAAGCTGTGTAATTCAAGCTGATAACCTCTGCATGTGTATATTTCCTTGCTGTTGTTTTCTGTTACAAGCAATGTTTATCTTGACTTTTCTAATAATTAAATTTACCTGTATTTTCAAATTGCATTTTCACCAACTAGGGATTCGACATAAAAAATCTGCCTGGTGGAACCCGGAAAATACATAAAGTGATATAAGGAAATTGAAAGTTCTAGTGTGTAAAATATCTTTTAGAACTTGTATTTTGTTTTTAAGGTAGCAAGACTCACAGTATCACACATTTCAGCCACATTAATTTGTAGAGAGTACATTTATTCTTAATTAATACTAATTAACATGTTGAAAGTCAGGGTGCTGATATCCTCTGAAATACAGATTTTGTGCACTTGCTTACAGCAGTAGGTATGTGCAGGTAAGGTGCAATGTTTATCCCATCAGAGTTACTGCTACTAACTGTGTCTGATATATAAATATTTAATCCAGCTTTGGGGGAAAACGATGTAGTAAACATGTACATTCTAGTTATAACTACATTGTAGATATGCTTTACTTACATGCAGTTTTCTGTTCTCCATCTAGATGCTGCTGTTAACTCGGGAGAATTGTGGTTTGTGAATTTTTATTCTCCTCGATGCTCCCACTGCCATGACTTAGCACCTACAGTATGTATAACAAGCAAATTAACTCTGAAAAATCATTGGTTTTAACAGCATAAAAACTTTCAGAAGTGGATTTTACACTAAAGCTGAAACCAAATTCAACAATTCAAAATGCCAGGAATAGGAATAAAACATGCTGATGTTTCGTTATATGTTTATAAGAAAATATTCTTGCCCCCCCTCCCCCCCCCTTTTTTTTCTAGTGGAGGGAGTTTGCTAAGGAGATGGATGGAGTAATACGCATTGGAGCTGTCAACTGTGGAGATAATAGAATGCTTTGCCGAATTAAAGGGATTAATAGTTATCCCAGTCTGTATGTTTTCAAAACTGGAACGGTGAGTGATAAAACTTCAGCATTCTTCTGAAAGATAGAAGTCTGCAAGGGTAGTTCTTTAATATTTGTTCAATCATAGTTCTTTATATAATGATCTTCCTTTTGATACATTACTTCCTTTTAATAAATACTATTTCTCTTCCTTCACTTCAGTTAAATTAATTTAGAAAGTTTACTTCAAAAATAGGTATCTTGTTTACACAGTAGGATTTTTCTAATCATTTTACCATGCAATATGTCACTCCTGATTTAGGAAGATACTGTCAGCATTCATGCTGTAGCAAAGCAAGTCTACTTGAACAGTTTCTCTTACAGTATTGTAATGGACTTTTCAAATACAAAGAATAGTCTGTGGCTTTGAGTCTAAAGAATATGGTGTTGTGCCTAAAGAAACTTGGAAATTCCTTCCATAAGATTTTCTCCATGCCAGCTGCATTATGGTCGTCACGCTTTATAGTTGCTTGTTAAGTAGTGGTGCCAGGGCTAGTGTACAAATTGCACTTGAGTAGTTAGGTACATTTTGACAATGGTAAGATTTGAGAGGCTGAATGCAGAGATTGTGCATGCACAAAATGGACTGTTACAAGCAATTTTTTATTTAAATAGAAATAATCATTGGGAGTTGGTATTTCTAAGGCTGAGTTATCCTTCTGTGTCTGGATTTAGAAAGAAAAGCTAAATTCCAAACATTCCAGTACAGAAGGGAGAGGACGGTTAGAACCAAGGCCGGGGGGTGTAGGAGTATCCTGCAGTTTCATAAGTACTGTTATTCAAAATATGTTTGGTTAATTTTATATTCTTTTTATTCTGTAGCAACCAGTGAAATATTACGGAGACAGGTCAAAAGAGAGCTTAAAGAACTTTGCCATGCAATATGTTACAAGCACAGTCACTGAGTTATGGGCAGGTAATGTTCACATGATTTGTTTGTGGTGGTGGTCTTAAAATTGTTTGTAGAATATACAATATGGCAGAAACTATGTATACAGCAATTCAATTGTATTACATAGTTTCCTGCTTATTTTTGAGGCTAAAAATATTTTACTGTAACTTGCTAATATAAATCTGTTTTGTTTCACTAGTCACAAACTGATGCAAATTGTTTTGCTCTTAGGAAACTTTGTTAATGCCATTGAAACTTCGTTTGCTTCTGGTGTTGGTTGGCTGATCACCTTCTGTGCTGAGCGTGGGGGTAGGTATATTAAATACCTTTCAAATAAGGCAAACAAGAAAAAAAGTACTTCTGTTCATAATGGCATAATCCTTTTTGCTTCTAATAAGTTACAAAATGTCTTAGATGATCACAGTATTTGGATTGTAGGTCACTTAAGCTCCATTTTAGAGGCAGCTTGACAAAAGGGACATTAACAGCAAGATTATGCTATTGTGCATCTGTAATGTCATGTAAGTTATTAACGCAGCACTCTAGTGTAAACCCTCAAAGGGAGTGGCAGAAAAGGCTTCTAACACTTTCCAGCTGAAGCTCAAATGGGCAGATATTGCATAGCTGCAAGCCAGCTTGTTGCGACGGCTGAGTGGAAGGAAGGATGTATCTCCACTTTAAACCTCTAATGCACAAAAATAAGCTGAATGTTTTCTCTTAGGTTTGGACATAGTAACTGGCACTTAGCACTGACGTTATGACAGTTTAGATTCAAGTTATTTTTTGTAGCTGTTTGTTACTGATGTTCTTGGTATCAGTAGCAGATGCAGTACATGAGAAAGCTGCCTTGGTTAGCTGGTATTGCTAAGTAAATGCACTACACCTTTGACAAATAAAGATTTCTAGGTCTTATGAAGAGACCTTTGTTCTGTGGACGGAACAACCGGAGCTGCAATCTTGATTTTACATTTGTAAATAGCATGATTTCAAGTTGCAGTTCTTTTGGTAGTAAGTTTTCAACTTTGGTCCAATTAAAGTGAGGTTGATGCATCTAGTTTCAGAAAAACTTCTAAATCAAAAGGTAACTATTAAAAGTCTGGATTGGACTTTTTAATAGAGCATATGATGACATAATTAGACACAATTAGAGCATATGATGTATTTATTGTAGTGAGGTATTATTTGAATCACAGGAAATTGAGATTCCATTGAAATTTCATTCCAAGACTGTATGTAGATAACCTCTTGGTTGTATTTTTATAAACCGTAAGAAGACAATTTAAAGGTCTAGCAAATCAAATATTAAAATCTTTTAAATGAGAATTTTATGTTGATGAAACAAGATAGTATTATTCGTGTTTATTTAACTTTGAGTAGACAACCCCTGTGTGCTAGTTACTAGGTGTTAGAAGTTCAAGTCACTGAAATGCTGGATGAGTAGCCAGGGAGCATGCCTTTTGAAATGGTCACCTTTGTAGGGAGGAGAAGGGTAATTCTAAAGAGTACATTTAGTGCATTAATAATTTGACGTTTCATGTTTATAAATAAATCATTTTTATTTTGCAGATTGCTTGAGTTACCAAACGCGCCTTAAGCTAGCTGGCATGTTGGTAAGCAACACTTCACTTTTGAAAGCATTACTGTTATATTTAAAGCAAAATAAGAGAAGTGAAAGCATCAACTTGTAGCCGAAACATCAAGTAAAAGCTGAAAGTTGTAGGTTTGTTTCACTGAGTTTAGCGGAACAAAGATTTCACCCATTAACTTTCAGAAGAGTGACTTAGTAGCTGTTGGAATAACATTAAATTTTAAGGAATTTTATAAAATATGAATTATTATTAACTAATTAATTATTATGCGATTTTCTTCTGTTTTCTAAATGTATATAATTGCTTGTGCGGTGATTTTTCAAAAGCATTTCTGAGCTTTAAATTAAAAAATACTCTTCGTTTTGTGTTTGGTTTTGTTTTGTTTTTTTCTTACAGGAAGGTCTTGTTAATGTAGGCTGGATGGACTGTGGCACCCAGGGTGAGCTTTGTGATAATTTAGATATCTCATCTAGTACTACAGCATACTTTCCACCTGGAGCCACCATAAATAACAAAGAGAAAGGAGGTGTTTTGGTATGAGTTGTTTCTCAACCATTCTGTATTTAGATAAAATAAGGTGATGGCAATGACAAAAGCATGTATAAATAACTTCTACATCGATTATATACAACAGAAAAGATCCTTTTTTATCTTCTAAGGTTGTACTCTGTGGTATGGGTTTATATCTTGATTTGGTTCTAAAACTGTGATCCCTGGAAGTGGTCCCCAGTTTGTTGCTATGCTGGGAGAGTGAACAGGAGTATGGTGCAGTAGCAGCTGCTTGTAGCTCTGCTTATCCAGCTCCTCAGGAGTCTCCCTGGGCAGCTATGGGAATCCAGGGGTGGGATGTTGCTCTGTGACAGGCCCAAGAGCTAGTTCTAAAGCTGCTACCCAGCTATCCTGTCAGTCTCTTCTCAAGTAACAGGACAAGAGAAAATGGCCTCAAGTTGTGCTATGGGAGGTTTAGATTGGATATCAAGAGAAGCTTCTTTACCAAAAGGGCTGTCAAGCATTAGAACAGGCTGCCCAGGGAAGTGGTGAAATCACCATCCCTAGAGGAATTTAAAAGACGTGGACATGGATCAGTGGTGGACTTGGCAGTTAAGGATTGGTCTCTGTGCTCTTAAAGGTCTTTTCCAACCTGAATAATTCTATCATTCTATGATTTGCCATGTGCCCACAATTTTATTCCAGAAGGAATATCACAGGTTTGAGGAATGTTACTCAATTGAACTGAGTACTGACATGTGTGATAAAAGCACTCCTACGACGTCTGTCGCAACAGTTTATGCTGTTAGACTCTATTCTAATATTGCAACCTCCTCCTACGTTTGTATGCTAGTTCTAACTTCCTTAATTGATGGAGACATGTCACAGTTTGAAGAATGGCTTGTTCCTTTATTGTCACTACTGTTATCTATATCTTTAAAAGGAGGAAATTATATTAAACCTGTCTGCTTTCAACTCTGTACCTTGCCACCTCTGAGTTACTGATTCATATTGCTTCCAAAATGTTAAAGATTACTGAAACTTCAGTGCCTGTAAGGAGGGCTGTAAGTCTAGATCGGAAATCTGATAAACTTGATTGTCAAATTTGGCCTGAAATTTGGATTTGAGACTTTTAGCCCCCATTTGGCAAAATACAGTATTGTAAGTTTAATGTTGTAGGAAAACAAGCTAAAAAGCAGTATTCCAATAGTGATGTTTGTGAAATTATGTATATGAAAAAGGTGATCAAATAACATGCTATTAACTATACTCTTCAGTTGATGAAAAGAAACAAATCAGAATAATTTCCCTGAGACTTTTCAGTACTAATCCTCAACAATCAAGTTGATATTTGTAGTTCCTTAGAATAAACACAGTTACCTTTCCCTCCTAGTTTCTTAACTCCTTGGATGCCAGAGAAATATATCAGGAAGTAATGAAGCATCTGCCAGACTTTGAAATGATCCCTGCAGCATCATTAGAGGTAAATTTTAAAAAATATGTTAAAATTTCTTTAAATAATCGTTGTTTGGAGTTTTTATTGTTATTTTTTTTTTGCATTTTTCAAATCATGTTGACACAAACCAGTATTTACTTAGCTGAGAATGACTTTTCTTTCCTCTTTAGCCAAAATTATTTAACATTGTTTGTCTACATTTACTTCTGTTGTTTAGCAAAACAACAAAAGTAAGGGGGTGTGGGTGTATTTAATATGAAAATGGAAAAACACAGAAATTGGCATTCTAACTCCCTCTGCAGCTGTAACTTCCTGGTTATGTTTACATTAACTACATTGTAGAGAATCTTGTTTTAAACATATTTTATCAGTAATGTAAGAAAGAAAAACAAAATACTTGTTAGTCCACGATAAATTATGTATGAACTGAAATTAGAAGTCACAAAAGTTACTCATTTCTTGGAGGAAAAAAGAAAAGGAAACCTCTCTTCACACTTGTAGTAGCACTTAACAGGTTGATCTACAATGCACATGGAAACAAAAGGTATAGAGGGTAGCACGGTTCAGAGTTTTTCCTCTTTCCTGCTTATAATGTACTAAAATGAAGTTTAGTGGAAGGACTACATGAAAGAATTTGTTGAGTAGAGGAGGTCACTCGGAGATCAGATGAAGGTCTTTGCCTTTATAAAACGTAAAGGGAATTTACAGGTCGGTGTAAGTTGGGTTTTGTTGGGGTGTTTTTATCTGTGGGTTTATTGTGTTTTAAGGTGTCCTTTTTCTTCGTTTAAAGGACCATCTGGCTCATCACCGGTGGCTGCTTTTCTTCCAGTTTGGAGAGAATGATAAATCAAATACACAGGAATTTAAGAAACTTAAATTTTTACTTAAAGATGAACACATTCAGGTAAGAGTTCTCACTCGCCTACTGCTGAATACTTACATTCAGAGAACAAGTCAGTATGTTTTTCATTATTTTTACATGTTACTACCACTTGCCACTTCTGGTACTGAAATACACATTGTAGATCTGTAGGAAAGCTTTTAATTTAAAGCAAGCAATGAAGTTTCCCATATGGTTTGAATAATTTAAAAGTAGTTAGGAAAGATTATCTTTTAAATCTGCTCTCTTCTGGTGCTGCAGATCCCACTCAGTTAACAATTAAAAGTTAACACTTCAGCATCAAATTGATGTATGGGAAACTGTATTTTAACCACTCAGAAAACCCTATAATTATCTTGAAAATTTAAGACATATGGATTGTGTTAATTCCATAAAGTATGTATTCTCAAAAAATATTTGTTGCATTGACTAAAAAAATTTTAATGTCACATTTATTTTAGCTGTCTTTTTGCTTCCTTGCTGCTTTATCTGGAGGAGAAAAAAGGAGGATTTCTTAAGGTTTTATTCTCCATTTTGGCTTTTAATTTAAAAAAGTAACTTAATGTAGCTGTGCTGATAGTTTTCCTCAAACATCATAGTTTGTCTTAAGACCAAAAACGCACTACTTTTCCATATTTTTACCTTTCTTTCTCCAACTCCTACTGCCTTTCAAAATATGTTAATTCATATAGATTAGGATGTGTTAATTGAAATAGCAATTTCTGTTAAATAGGTTGGCAAGTTTGACTGTCTTTCCTCACCAACCATCTGCAACAAATTATATGTCCATCAGCCTTGTTTAGCAGTCTTCAAAGGAAAAGGAACTGGAGATTATGAAATTCACCATGGTAAGGGAAACTTTGGCAAGTTTAAATCATTACATAAGCACTCTGAGATGACACTGTCTTTGGCAAACTTTTTTTCCAAAGAACAGTTTTGTAGTTTTCATGGTTGCTGTTTTTCCTCTGACCTTCCTGTAGCTTTGCACAAACTTATCATTTCCTTTGGGGGTGTTTTATTTTGGGTTTGTCTTTTCTTTTTTTCCTGGATAAGCAGTCATCAGATGCCCAGACATGTATTTTGTCTTTATTGTCCTGTCTGTTTCAATGTAATTTATGTACTTAGCTATTAATGAAATCTCTGAAGCTGACAGGACAGCTTCTACTTTGGGAGGGATAACCAAAGAATGCTGTAAGACACACCCTTCATAGAGGCTGAACATGCTAGTTATACAGTGCTTCCAACTTGAGAAACTTGGACTGGACTTCATGTGTCACTGCACTAAAACTAATTCCATGCTTTGTTGTCTTTCATCCAAGAAAACCTACACTGAGACTTTTACCACTTCATTTCCAATGTAACAATCTCCTTCCAGGAAAGGTTGGAACTATGTTACTGTGTACTGCTGAAAGGATTCAAAAATGTTAGTTGAAGAAGAATGAAGTCTGAAGCAAAACTGTAGGTTGCAGCAACAGGCGTAGCTTCATCCACAATGTGGCACGATGCAATTATGTAAGATGAAGTTCTAGTTTTTCAGCCTCTGAACTATTAGCAACAGCTTGCTAGAATGGAGTCAGAGCCTCAGTACCATAATAAAGAGAGGAGACAGGCTTTTGACCACTTAAAAAAGATTAGTTGTGTCTAAGGGGGAAAGATAATCCCCGTTATAGAAGGTAAAAGCTTTGTACTCTTTGCAGCTTTCAGTCCAGCAGGGAAGCCAAGAAAGCGTCATATACATACAGCATTTTTAGATATTTTTATAAACAAATTTTTAGATATTTTTATAAACAAAACAGAATATTTACAACTAGGGTATGAGAAATGCATCAAACTGCAGTATATATGTTCTGAATGATTTGTTTTACTATTTACAAAATTGATAGCACCTAGAACGTTTAGCAATAGCAGTCTTACTTCAGTATTTATAACGGTGTGATACTTGAAGGAATCACGTTTTTTTATATGCTATGTTGAAAGGCTTCAATAGTTTAAAATCTAACAACAGTAATAAATCTTAGTAAGTCATTGTGCAGTGACCTGAGATTTAATTACCCTGAGGTTCTTATCCTTTGTTCATTTCAAGACAGAAACTCGCATTTCAGTTGACAAATACATACATGAAGGGTATGAAAACACTTGATCTTTGCCCACTGGAGCAAAAATAGGGTGACTTGCCAGTATCATTTATTTTGCTTCAAGTCTTTAATGTCTCAATATCTTTGCCAAGGCAGGTGCATCTACAATAGTAACTTTTTAATTCCAACAAATGCTAGGAAAATGGTAAAACAGCCAATATTACAGTCACAAAAAACCTGGTCATTTTATTTAATAAAAACATGATTTTGTCTTGGATAAAACATTTATTTGGCTAATACTGGGTACATATCCAGGTTAATATTTAGCCAGATATCAAATATCACTTAGAGTTTTCTTACCTATGAAGGTTTGGACAGTTTAACATTGTCTTCCTGAGAAAAAGCAAGGCACTACCTCTTTAATTTATTTTAGCAGGCCATATTTAAAGATCAGTCAAGGGAACTGAAGGGTTCCTGTCACTGTCACTGAGGTTTTTTAATGAGATCTGTCATACGGAAAAATGAAGTTTCCTTTCTACATTGTTCTTTGAAGGAAAGAAGATCGTGTATGACATCGTGGCATTTGCCAAGGAAAGTGTCAACTCTCATGTTATCACTCTGGGACCTCAGAACTTTCCTGACAAAGAGAAGGAACCTTGGCTTGTGGATTTCTTTGCACCAGTAAGTATTTCATATCTACTTTCCCGTCTAGCACCTGTTGTATAACTATGTAATACAACATTAGCAGTATCTTGAAAGTGTCCTTCCACATCATGAGACGGTATTGTAATTTCTCATGCCTTGGCAGCACTAGTTCCTAGACTGTGGGGGGGGTTCTATTTAGTGGAGTCTGTTGTCTAAGCAGAGTATTATTCATCTCAAGCATTCTCCTGAGAGCCAGCTGCAGCGAAATCAACTGCGCCCACTTGTATTTTCTTTTCCAGTGGTGTCCTCCTTGTCGGGCTTTGTTACCAGAGCTGAGGAAAGCATCCAAACATCTTTATGGTCAGCTTAAATTTGGAACACTGGACTGTACTGTCCATGAAGGGCTTTGCAACATGGTAAGCTGCAGAAAATAAGGAAATACAATCCTTTTAAAGAGTATTATTTTCTTCTAGTTGGAGGTAGGGGTGGACAATATTTGAATCATAGAATCATAGAATAGTTAGGGTTGGAAAGGAGCTTAAGATCATCAAGTTCCAACCCCCCTGCCATGGACAGGGACACCTCGCTCTAAACCATATTACCCAAGGCCTCGTCCAACCTGGTCTTGAACACTGGCAGGGATGAAGCATTCACAGCCTCCTTGGGCAACCCATTCCAGTGCCTCACTACCCTAACAGGAAAGAATTTCCTCCTTATATCCAATCTAAACTTCCCCTGTTTAAGTTTTAACCCGTTACCCCTTGTCCTATCACTACAGTCCCTAATGAAGAGTCCATCCCCAGCATCCCTATAGGCCCCCTTCAGATACTGGAAGGCTGCTATGAGGTCTCCACGCAGCCTTCTCTTCTCCAGGCTGAACAGCCCCAACTTTCTCAGCCTCTCTTCATCTGGGAGGTGCTCCAGGCCCCTGATCATTTTTGTGGCCCTCCGCTGGACTTGTTCCAACAGTTCCATGTCCTTTTTATGTTGAGGACACCAGAACTGCACACAATACTCCAAGTGAGGTCTCACAAGAGCAAAGCAGAAGGGCAGGATCACCTCCTTCGACCTGCTGGTCACGCTGCTTTTGATGCAGCCCAGGATACGGTTGGCTTTCTGGGCTTTTCTTTGCTTATTTATTGTTACTTTCTTAAAGGGTAGTAAGCAAAACAGGACACCTGTATCCTTTTTTAGTTTCAAAGGAACAAACTAACCACTGCAGATAAAAGTAAATGCAAAATACAGGTCAGTTTTACTCTGATTTCATAGTGTTATTGGAAGACTCTGGAAGTGTCAAAATCTAGTAATGCCTAAAGCAAGAAAAATAAAACCTAAAGCAGGCCCGGAAAGTCTTTTAATGTATCTCTAAATACATATATGCGTTCTTTTTGTTCTTCACATAGGAGGATTGAAAACAGTAAAACATCTAAAAATGCAAGTTTTTAATTGAAATAATGTGTTTTGACAATATCTGTAAAACAACTTTAATTCACTTCACCTTAACTGACTTGGCTTTTGGTTTTGTAGTGCCTTAAGTAGTCCAGGATCAATTTCAAATTAAAGAAAGTTTATATTTTATCAGTTTACACTTGTTTAAAGATACAGTAGTGGAATGAAATCTTTTTTTTTTTCCTTTTTTTTTAAATCTTGACCAATTTACCATGTTTAAATTTGCTTAACTTTTGCTTCAGTTAACTTACTGTAGTAGGAATTATTGCTGCTTACCCTGAAGTCCAGAAAATACTGCATTGTGACAGTTTTTCTGCAACTTTTTATATTAAAATGTTTGTACTTATCTTTAAAATGTGAATCTCTTGAAATACATAAAAACAAGCAAAAAAGGACAAACTTTTTAAAGTCTTATGTGTGTTTACACTCTGAAGAATTCAAATCATGGAAGCATCTGTGTTTGGTAGTAAACAGTACAGTTATTCATACAGTACAAGTGTTTCCACATAAGGACTGGGAATAGCTTTAAAGTTAAGGCTAAGTATACCTATGGATTAGTTCCTGTATTTGTGCAGAATGGCAAAAGAGCTACTGACTGTTTTTTAGATTGAGAACAAACTATGCCATCTCTGAATACACTTGGCATCTTCTCTGTACTGATTTGTAATGGTTTCAGATTCCCATCTGCACATAAGTTTGAGTAGTTACACTGTACAAACTGCAACAGATCTGTAAGTGTGACCCACAAATACCAATGGCAGTTAAAGTACAAGAAACCTAATCATTCCTTACAATTTCTTATTGTCTGTTTTGTTAGCATAACATTCGAGCTTATCCAACAACAGTTGTGTTCAATCAGTCTGATGTTCATGAATATGAAGGACATCATTCTGCTGAGCAGATCTTGGAGTTTATAGAGGTATGTAAATTATAATCCTTGTTGCAGTCATGCTCACCCACAAACATGTTCTTTATTTGGAAGATTCTAAGATTTAGTGGGGTTTTATTATTAATTAGACTAGTAAGATAAAGAGCGAAAAAAACTTGGGCAAGAAGAGTGATCCGGCAACTGCCAGTCACAGACTTAACACCAAATTTTCCTTCTCTGACAGATAGTTTCTTTGATATCATAGCAAATAATTTAAGATCCCTTCCAGCCTGCAAAGTAATAGCAATGATTTCTATTTCATAGAGAGGATAAATGAATTAAAAGAATGGAATGCTGTAATATGAAAGTGAAAACATCTCACATCCACAGTTTGAAATAAGAGGAGCTTCATATTTTTGTAGATCAGCTTGCTGCCCTCCATGCTTCTCGGCTTTTTCTTGAACTTTCTTAACTCACAGAACTGCAAATCCTTGCTACTCATCATTGTTGCTGCCAGAGTTCTGGCACCCATCTTTTCCTCCAGTATTCAGGTTCTCTCACTGCTAGATCCAGAGGCTGTTTTCCACTCTTGAAAGAGGCTATTAATTCTCCCCAGGTAGCCCAGAGAAAGCAGGTTTAAGACCACCCATGCAGGACCAGGTAGAGATCAATCTTTTTCAGATGCTATTCAGAGGCCCCTAGTGCACCGTTCTGCATCCCAGCCTAACTAGCATGGCTGAGTCTCATAGTGCCTGCGCTTGCCAGGTAAGCTGACTTTCTTCCCTTTTGCCTCTCTTGATGGAAGAGAGACAGAAAACCTCCCTTTTGCAGCCCAACTGTATTGTTTTGGATAGCTTTTTTCAGCAAATCAGGCATATGATTGTTATGTTGAAGGGATGACTTTTGATGCCTCCATGCCTTTCAGTGGTGTGGAGTCTTCCCAACCATACCAGCAAGCATAGCTCACTAAAAGAGGGGCATTCTTAGAAGTTTTTACATTCTGTTTGTATGTGATGGTGCTAGATATGTCATAACTTACTGTTGCAAAGTGTATGTCTACAAGCTGTCTTTGCCTTAGGATCTTCGGAATCCATCAGTGGTGTCCCTAACACCAGAGACATTCGTTGAATTAGTTCAGAGAAGAAAACGAGAGGAAATCTGGATGGTTGACTTCTATGCTCCATGGTGTGGACCTTGTCAGGCTTTAATGCCAGAATGGAAAAAAATGGCCAGGGTAAATGACATTCAAACGTTTTTCTTGTTTTGTGTCCTTTTCTGTGGAATCATTGAGACAGTACAATTGCTGTCTTAGGGGTTTGTCAAAGTCCAGTGACTAATATTGCAGACAAACTAGGGAATTCCTAACTGATAGTTTTATACTGTTTCAAATACAAAGTTTTTGTTTGTTTGTGTGTTTGTTTAAGGTTCAGTACAGTGTATATACTGTATTCCAGTTTTTGTTGTTGATACAAGTGTGTTTTCCAAGATCTAAGAAACTTTAGAGTAACTAACTTTTCTTGATGCTTAGTGCTTTAGATAAAGAGCTCTGCATCTGCTTAAAACAAAGTAGAAAAAAAAGATTTATCCATAAATTGGATAAGAATTGGTTTGCAAGATCATTACAGTGTTCTCTCATTTGCAAAAGTAATTACTTTATGGACAACCATCCAGGTTTTCCTGGATGTGTTTCCAGGAATATGAACTTGAAACTCGGGGGGGTGGGGGAATAGGGCTTTGGAAACAAGTTCATGACTTTCAGGCGTTTAGAGCTCACCTAGGCTAGGAGTTCTAGCTAGGGTTCTCTATTCTGGTCACATGTCTGTGAAGTTTTAGTAGCTAGCTCTATAGTACATGTTTAGTAATCACAAGCTTCACTGCCTATGGCAGGTGGTTTGTGCCTTTGCAACAAATACAGTGTGTTTAAGACACAGGCCAGCTGTGTAACTGATAGCACATCTGCACTGTATGAGATTTCTGTCATAATTCTTGAGCCTGTGATGTGAAACATGGTAATATGTTAGTCCTTATTCTAAATAATGACAATCACATACCTTCAAGGCAAGGTATCTCGGGAGCCATGTGCAAGCTTATACTAAAATAGGTATGTGCATGATGGGAATGCACCTGGGTTGCTGGCTCTAATTAGCTACCAGTGACTCAGGAAAGAAAAAAAACTTGTGATAATCTTAGTTTGTTTTGTTGTGTTTTTTTTTCCCAAGTAAGTGATTAAGGCTTTAATTCTGAAGTATTATAGTAGTACTGATTAGCACATTTAATTGTAGATTTCTTCTTTATTTTTCAGATGTTAAATGGATTAATCAGTGTAGGCAGTGTGGATTGCCAAAAATACTATTCTTTCTGTCACCAAGAAAGTGTTCGAGGATATCCTGAAATAAGACTCTTTCCTCAAAAATCAAACACAGCTCACCAATATTAGTAAGTAGCCTATTTTGATTTGGGAAATGTTAGGTGATAAGAAACAACATGGATATACATCATCTGCTGTATGGAAAAGATTCATCATAGCTGTAAAATACGCTGTTACGATATTACTGTCCTAGATGTTACTCACTTTGTTATTTGAATCCAGTGTCATTTCATTTTGCCATTTCATTTCAGTAATTTGAACTGAGGCTGCCTCAGGAATTTAATTTTTATTTCTTGTTCTTTAGCGGTTGCCACTATTCTAACTTTATTGCCTATTAAATTGTATGATATAAAAATATTAAGCCTAATTGCTTGCAGCCTTATCTTTAGAGAACAGAGGAATGTAGCCATCTGATCGTTCTTCCTGCTAACAGTCTGTTAGCACCATAGCAAAAATTATCCACTGTATATCTACTCGTCCCAGTCATTGTATTACTAGTGTGAAAACACTAATCATTAACATGGCAAAACAAAAATTCAGTGGGTAACAAAATCTGGCTAAGCCAAACAGCCTGTCTCCTCCGTTTCACAGTACTGTTTGAAGATCCAGGGATTTCAGGAAGCACATACATATTTCAAGGTAGATAACATCTGAAGTAGCAGATGTGTTGATTCATTGTTTTGCAAATTGGAAAGTTCTATTAAATGCTGGCAGGTAATGAATTGTAATGCCTCTTCATCATAGTGCATAATAGCAGACTTCAGTAGCTTTCATCATGGAGCTGCTTGCTTTTATTCAGTTCTAGACAAAGTTTCTCTTAAAAGCAGAAATCTCTTTCTTACTGAAATCAACGCAGTTGGTGAATGTGACCTTTAAGTGCCAGATTCCTAACCACGAGTGAGCTATTTCCTATGAAAATATGTAAATTTGTCTCTCAAATCACCAAAAACTATCAGGTCAGATTTTGACCAGGTAACTTTACTGCAAAATACTTTGTTACAAAGTTGTAAATTAGTGGATACGAATCCAGAATTTATCTTTTTTTCTAACCTGTCACTGGAATTTCAAAACTAAGCAATGTCCTGGAATTCCAAATAGTAAATCCTTGTCCAAGTAATCAGTTTGCCTGGCTTTTCTGCTATCAAGTAATTGTTTTATTGTAACACTTGAAAATCAAATAGAAAATGTACTAAGATATTTCAGTTTAATTCTCATGTTTCTTAAATTCTGCAATTGTATCTGGGCTTGTTAACAAAGATTCTTAATTAAAAATAGCTCTAGCTGTCAAGGCTTACATACTCCAAACCAAGTTTTACTCTCCTGACAGAATTTTCTTCTCTTTATCTTCTAGTCCTTAATTCTGCATCTTTGAATTGTAATGACTTTTTACTCAGCTTTAAAAGCAACATTAGAAATGTATCCTAAACTGTATGCATTTAAGTTCATTATTTCATTATCTCCACTCTACAGAGATGTTTGAGTTTGTTGTTGTTGTGTTTGGGTTTTTTAGGGGTTTGTTTGTTTCCCACCGTAATTCAAACCACTGTGCAACTGGAATTTCATTTTCTTTTCAATCATTTTACAGTAGCTACAATGGATGGCACAGAGACTCATATTCACTGAGAGGCTGGGCATTGGGGTAAGTTGCTGCATTAAACTTTGTTCACAAACCACTTACGTAATTTGCTTGGTAGGAGAAATGAATATTTAAATGCTGTGTGAATCAAAAATTAGAAACACTTAGGTACATGTATTAAGATTTCCATATCCTTTAACTCAAGAAATGGCATACTTCCTACTGCCCACCCATTTCCTGAAGACCATGTTGTTATCTTGCCTACCACTTTTAGAAAGTGACTCTTTGTCGTAGTTTAACCCCAGCCAGACAACTTGTGCACTTACTCCCAGTGAGTGGTGCCAGGCTGGAAGCAATCAAGGCCCACATTAGCCCCCCCTCCTTCCCTAGGAGCTGTCCCCCCCTTCCCCACTCCCAGAGGGATGGGGAGGAGAATCAAAAGAATGCAACTCCCACGGGCTGAGATAAGAACAGTCTAGCAACTAATGTACAATACAAATCACCACCGCTACCACCAGTGACAACAATGATAAGAGAAAATAGCAAGGGAAAGGAGTACAATACCACCCGCCGAACAACGAGTCCGACCCGGCAGACCCCCTGTCCCTCTGGGTAACTCCCAGTTCCCCCCTGGGCGTGACGTGCTGTGGTATGGAATACCTCTTTGGTCAGTTTGGGTCAGGTGTCCTGTCTCTGCTTCCTCCCGGCTTCCCCTCCTCCCTGGCAGAGCATGAGGCTCACAAAGTCCTTGGCCAAACCAAAACATAATTGTTATCAGCTCTGTTCCCAGGCCAAAAGTCAAAACACAGCAATGCAGCAGCTACCAAGAAGGAGAAAAATGACTGCTACTGCTGAACCCAGGACATTATCCACCCCTTATTCCATATCATTCACATCATGCTCAGATCCTGCATTTTCAATATACCATCACTCTGATCTCAATGCACTTCTATCTTAGTGCATGGGCCAGTCCCTATAAAGCTGCTGAGTCCATCTGGCCCATGATGTCAGGCTCCATCTCTTGTAACAGTCTTTCAGAACAAGAGAGGCTGCGTGCAGTATTGGGTTGTTGCCTGCTGATGCTGATCGTTCCTTTACTGCAGAACTTGTCTGGTTCTGTCAAGTTCATTCTCTGTTGGGATGATGGTTGAAGGGAAGTCAGGGCTAGTCGCTGGTGACCCAAAGACGTCTGGTTGATGGGCTATAAAAGTATTACATAGCAGGCAACAGCATACAATTAAGTTCATTGGCTGTTTTCCCCTAAAATTAAATCCCCTTGAGGTACACATCAGACTTCCCCATCATCCCGCATTACCCACTTAGCAGCAGCAGTCATTTTTTTCAATATAGAGTAATAAGATGTTATCCCATATCACAGCATGCAGTTTTCTGTTGAATACACTATTCTGTTGAATACAATATTCTGTTGAATAATATAGGGATGAAGTACAGAACATGTGGCTTAACTGTGGGTTTTGAAAGATGCAATCTCTATATAATGAGCACTTTGATGACCTTCATGGTAAAAGTATTTACTGTTTTGAAAAAACAAGGAAAACCAGTTATGATTTTTTCCATGAAGGTTATCAAAGTGATCATCATATATAGATTGCATCTTTCAAAACCCACAGTTAAGCCACATGTTCTGTACTTCATCCCTATATTATTCAACAGAATATTGTATTCAACGGAAAACTGCATGCTGTGATATGGGATAACATCTTATTACTCTGTATTGAAAACAATGACTGCTGCTGCTAAACCCAGGACACTCTTGCAGTACAAAGTGTAATATAGGGATTTGTGGACTACTACTATTCTTAACTTCAGAATTTTTTCTTGTACTTAAATGGAACCTGGATATGCTCAGTTTAGGGCTGTTGTTCTTCCTTTCCACAGATATTTACCACAAGTGTCTGTAGACCTGACTCCTCAGAGTTTCACAGAAAAAGTTCTGAACGGAAAAGATCACTGGGTCATTGATTTTTATGCTCCTTGGTGTGGACCATGCCAAAATTTTGCTCCTGAATTTGAGATCCTTGCAAGGGTAGGTTTTTAACTGTATTAGATTTTTATAATGGATAAAATGCAGTTCATCAGCACCTTTTTCTTACCGGTCATCCCAAAATTGCATATCCCTAATGAACCCCCTTCTAATTGAAAGTCCTCACTTCTACCTCCCACTTGCCAGCGGGTGTTGTCTCTTGCAGAGACATACACACAGGCCCTCTTTTGAGACAGATCCCAGGTTATGATTGGGTGGGTTTTGGAACTGTCACGTGCTTTGCCCCACGTTGAAGTAGAAGTGTTCCACTGAGCATGTTGTGTCTTCTAATACAAGGTTAACAGCCTGAGAAGCAAACAAACAACTACTCTGAGATATTTAGCTGCACTCCTGGCTTATTCAAGTTATTTTCTTACAGTCACCCACTGAAACTTGAAGTTTGATTCTAATAAACATTTCTTTTTAGGCTGTAAAAGGAAAAGTAAAAGCTGGAAAAGTTGACTGTCAGGCATATGGTCAGACCTGTCAAACTGCTGATATCAGGGCCTACCCTACTGTCAAGTTTTACCCCTACCAAGGAACAAAGGTAAAGTTAAGTGTCTCCTTTGTGTATGCTGGTGAGTTCTTTTAGTAGATGTATTTCATTTCATATTTGATTGAACAGGCTATTTCTGTAACATATTAAAGTGCATTATTTAGATATTTTGGAGATTCATTAATAATCGATAGTGGTTAACAATTAAAATAGTAGGACAGTGATACAGTAATGATGCGTTATTGAAAATAAGGAACTGTAAGTTAATAGAACAGTAACTAAAATGTGGGCTTAACTAGAAACAGGATTTAATTTTGCAGGGGTCTCATGTAACAAAATGTTTTTCAACTTTTATCAATTCTACCTCCTGCTACCCAAAAGCAGGCAAAGCCTCTCTTGAAATGTGGACAACTTCATTTTGGCTAAGAAGAAATATTCTTTCACTGTAATCACAACACTTAATTATGGTTTTGACTTAAATAATGCATTTTAAGATAGAAGATTAAAAACACTGAGTTGTGTTCTGGCTCAAAAACTTTATCAAACCACTTCAGTATCAGTGACAACATGGTCTAGTGTGAGGCACAAGGGCTAATGGGTTAAAACTGAAGCAGGGGACGTTCAGGTTAGATATAAGGAGGAAGTTCTTTACTGGGAAGGTGGTGAGGCACTGGAACAGGTTGCCCAAAGAAGCGATAAATGCTCCATCCCTGGCAGTGTTCAAGGCCAGGGTGGACAGGGCCTTGAATGACATGGTCTAGACCATGGCAGGGGGTTGGAACTAACAATTACAGACTTTGTAATGGCTGTCTACATTAAATATGTAGCTGAATACATTTGAGAGAACTCATAAGTATTTCAGGTTTCTTTAAGGCTCAAGACAAAATTTCTATAGTTTTGTAGTTGTTCTGACTATAAAGACAATTCACATTGTTTAAACAGAGACAAAAATATAACTATGAATCATAAATCAACCTACCAGAGCCATTGGCTTCCTCTCTGTGTTCCTCTTGAATTCTATCTGAACGTAAGCAGAATTTCTATTCAATGTAGAGTATGGATAATGTGTTTCACAATTATTTCTTTTCCTCTTTTAAGAAAAGTGTTCTTGGAGAATACATAGACAGCAGGGATGCAAAAGCTATTGCTGACCTCTTGAACGAAAAACTAGAAGCAATTCAAGATAAAGGAAAAAGAAAAAAGTCTAGAAACAAGGTAAGAATACTTATTGTGGGGCCTTTTGCAAAACACTCATTTAAAGTTATGTGTTTGTTCTTTGTCCGGGAAGTATTAAATTCCATATCTTCAAATAGTACCAGGTATATTTTGCTTTTAAGTCTTGTTTTGCTTCTTGTTATCTGTTTTAAACTCAGTTTTCCATGTCCACATATGTAGCAGAGAATACGGCAGTTGCAGCATAGTTATGGCAAGATTTATCAGAATTTATAGAAGTCCATGGAACCAGCTGCATTACCAATATATGGTTGAGCTGCACTGTATCTTGAGCATAATCTTTAGGTTTCATAAGCAGGCACTAAACTACAAAGGCTGATTAGTGTAAGATTGGGATTGACATTTTAACTCAGAAGGTAGTAAATACACACCAGTTAAGAAGTATTCTATTTAAGAAGCAGAGAAATATGAAATCAGAGGGAAAAGATCTTGATTTTTATTTGTACTTTCAGGTTAACTTGTTTGTTTTCTTGTCACTAGGATGAACTCTGAGTGGTACTGGAGATAGATACGATTCAAAATATGTTGAAGCTGTGAATATAGAAGACACCATGAGGAAAATAGAAGGCTGATTACATTCATGACAGGACTAAAGAGATGAAAGCTAGTTTGAGTTCATGGATGAAAAGCATTTTGATTTTGGTGGAGGCATTCAGTGTTTCTGCAAGTGAATTCTGCATGTCCCTCTTCTGATGTACCAACTACCTTCTTCCTTGTCAAACATTAGGGTTGACCAGAAATGTGGACTTTTGCCTACTCGTTTAGTAGTTCCTTATATTTTTTTGTATCTTCCCAAACACTTTTTGAATGTGGCACTCAGCCTGTGGCTGAATATGCACTCAAACCACTCTGCAATGCAGAAACACAATGAGGGGTTGTCTATTTGAAAGACAAACAATTTTACCTGGTGATTATTCTGCTTTGGGGTTGCATTGTTGTCTAATCAACTGTTAAGAAATAAAATCAAAAACTGGTAGCAGGATTGGTTTCCTGCCCTTGAGCGGATTACTGTGTTGTGGCAGTGGATGAATGGAACCTTGAAGAGCATCTTTAGCTGTTCGATTTAGGAGTGTGAGTTTGTCTTTGTTTGCTTGTTTTTTCAATAAGGAAAAAGAGTTAAGAAGGACTCCAAAGTCTGTTTCATTGACTTTCAAATGTTAAAGTTATGCCATAGAAGTATCTGCTTAAGTTATTAGGTGGTAACTTTATTACTGTCTTTTTACATACGAATGTATTCTGTGGACATGCTTAACATCTTTTGGTATTACCACTCTTTTCTGGAGACATATTTTGGGTTTGTTGTTTTGTTGGGGTTTTTTTTATATAAATTTAGGCAAGCAGCATAGCAAGTGCCTTTTTTTTTATTTAATAATGAACACTCTACATTGCAATATCTCCTCCATCCTAATAGAATTCCCACTCTTTAGTGTAATACTTCCCATAGAAAAAATACCGAAGACAACACAATGTCTGCTGCATTTATGAGTTCAAGATTGAAATGTTTCATGTTTTCAATAAAATGATGTCAGACGGACTTTACTCCCTGCTCGACCTGGGTTTAGATTGGGCATGACCACACCGTAGTGTATTATACATTTGTAAATGGGTTGTCTGCAAGTAATTTACTTTATCAAGAAAGCAGCAAGAAGTAAAAGGCAGATACTCAAATACTTACTCCCTTATATTCAGTGTTGCCTCCACTGCTTTGCAGTTTTGCAGTATATTAATCTGAAAGAGAATCTGTTGCATCTAGCTTTTAATAAAATAGACCTCCCCCTGTCCAAATCAAACATCAATCTCCATCACAGTCAAAAAAGACAACTTTGGTATTTTGTGACTGTCATACGAATTATTTTGGTCAGGTTTTGCTTGTATGTTTAACTGTAATTTCAGTTCCCCCGGCCTTCCTGGAGAATGAGATCATAGCTACAGGCTCTAGGATCCTACTGTTAATCTAATAAAACAGAATGTGGGTATTTGAACAATTTCTTCTTTATTCGTCTTAACAGGAACAAACAAGCAAGATGAAAAATAGACCAAAAAACCCAAACTGCTTCACAGCAGGCTCCTCTCTTAAGATGATGCTAACTGCCTTTACTATAGCTCTGTTAGAAAACTACATCAACAAGCTGAACTACAAGCATTTTTCCAACTTTTCATGGGTTTCTTTGCCAGCTGCCCTTTCTGTCGTCTTTCACTGAGCAGCTTGAGGGAGATGCAGTGAGTGATCAGATCTTGCCTTTATTCCTAGCTGTACAAATAAAGGAAAACCTTTTGTATGTAGTTTTATTCCAGCCTTCTCTAAGGAATGTAGTCATGCAGTTCTTGCTGATCAAGAGTTTAAATGGGTTATTCATGATGCATCCGGAGCAGTACTATTTTTTAGATAAGAGTATGTTCAAGCAGCCAAGTCCCTCAGTTTTACCCTGTAGAACCTTGGAGCTGTCAGCATTGCCTCATTCTTCAGCAGTCATTAAAAAGAAAGAAAACCACCACCACCACACCACAAGAACCACCCAGAGTAATAAAATCTACTCAAAACTGGTTTGGTTAACAGGTATTTTTTGAATATACTCCCCCACCTCTGATGCCAAATAGAAACAAATCAGTCCTATTCTAGTAACTGTTGATAATTGAGGTGCATTCCATTATTTTAAAAGGAAAACCTTCAAATTCACATATCCAAGCTACAAACCAAGTAGAAGATGAATCTGAACCAGTATGTGAGTACTCCAATTTTAAGTAATGTTGCACCATTCCATAGGTCCCTCTTTCCTCCTGAGAGTACATGTCAATTTTACTGTCATTGTATTACCAAGATTGTGGCATTTCTCCCTTTAGCTACCTGCAGATAGGGCTTATTACCCCTTCAGTCTTTTCCTAGAATCACTGTAGAGGTGCCGTTCAAGTGGGAGGGCAAGCGTGATGACATGTGGGGTTTGAGTGAATGCCATGAAACTTCTCAAGTCAAAGCAGGGCACAAGCACTCTCCAAGGGTTGCTGTTACGTAGGACTTCCTGCACTATTAAGTAAACACTGGTAGCTTTGCCAAATCTCTCAGATTACAGGCAGCAGACTGTGAGCCTGACCTTGTACCTTTTCCTTCTCATGTAACTACACATGCACAAAGGGAAACACATAAAACACAAAATACATGTATGCTGTACAACAGTTGGCATAGAACATATGGAAGCCTAATGGCTTTTAAGTTCATTTCTAGCATCCTATTTTGCTTTAATTAAGGGTGGCTATGGCTGCTTTGTGTCACTGAACTGATCATCCATCATGCTTTATACTAAACCAACAAGCTCCCAAGACACATTTGGCTTCTTTAGCTTCTGCTGTTGCTAAAAAGCATAAAAATAGAATCAACAGAATACGACAAAACTTTCAAGCAACATACTGGGTTTATATGGTCTGCAGTTGGAAAGACCATGTTGTGATCAAACCTGGCAAGTTTCAGTTTTTCCATTCATGGACATGCCTCAGGTTTCATTAGTTGTTCCATATATTTTTATCAGCTTATAAAAAACCTCAAGTGTTTTTTTTAAAGTCTTCAACTGAACTGCACAAAAGAAAGACACTTCATTTACTGAAACTTTGCATCTGAAAAGTGTAACATTTCAAGTTCAAATACTTTCAAACTTGGTTTTCTCGCTATGCTAAAATTCAACACCAAGTTTTGCTTCCATCTGTGTGTAAGCCACCACACTTTGTATAACAAACAACTAAAGGTAAATCATTGGCACATAAAGTACTTGCCCCCAACATTAACCAGACTTCTTTTTCTACTTCTTACTTTCTACAGTCTAATAGACTTCTCTGTATGTTACCAGATGATAAGAGAAGTTAATTACAGTTAGTTGGGCATAAAGAAGAATGTTTTCCTAAGCAAATGTATATAGTCAGTGTATTCTGCAGCCTGTTTCTTGGCTAAGGCTACAGGAGTCATGTCTGTTAACTCTTGGCATGTATTCTTCACAAGCCCACACATCTTGTAAGGAAACATCTACCTCACCTAAATGTCAGTGTTTCAAAAACACATTCAGGAGCTCAATTAAGTAAGGGTTGGTTGGGATTTTATTTTTTCCAGAATGCAATACACAGTAAAAACAAATTCATTCTGGTAAATTCCTACTGTACAACTGAGCTGGAATGGAAAATACTGCCTGAGAGATGGTCTCTGCCTTCTAGGGCTTAAGGGACACACAGCAAAATATAGCACAATATATTGGTTTTCCATAAGGCAGCTAAAACTTACACGAAGAAGTAGATATAATTTCTGCATTTTATAGGCTACTGTGCAGCCATATAAATAATGACCTTATTCCTCTCTTTTCCATCCTCGTGAAGTACCAGATCCATTAACAGGAACACACTTCAACCAGAATTGATTACAGATCCTTTCAACCATTAGAAATTCATTTGGCTGACCTGGAGTTTCCAGAAAATCATTTTCCTGGTAGAAAAAGCAAACATTTTATTCCTCCTGTGTACATTAAGCAATCCCAGTTGTGCTGTCCTAGATATACACCTTTTTCATCGGGTAGCTAGTTTACTTAATGTCATTGTGTCAGAAGATTCTCAGTAACAGAAGCCCACGCCCAGGATACCGTGTTTCATTTTTTGCTGAGGCTACATTAAAAGGAGATCCTATGTAAACAATGGGGAAAAGTTACTATATTCCCATCCCATCCCTACAACTGTAATTCAGCGCTCTCTTTTGATGATGTTTTCTTTATTATCCTACCTTTGATCACCGGATCATTATGTCTTGAACAACTTCATTATTCTAATTATATACTAAAGTGAGTAAACTGTGTCTATATTGCACAATTTTCCTGCTGAGGCTTGAGGCTGGAGCAGCATGCAAGAAGTACCTGTATGCCTGGCCAGCCTGTACAGAAGTACCTGTATGCCTGGCCATACCTGTACATACCTGGCCTGGTATGTACAAGGAGTACCCGTATGCCTGGCCAGCCTGTACAGCCTTCTGGCTGTACCTCCTATTCTGCTTGGTTCTATTTTAGCATAAGCATGCTCCTGTACTATAAGTTTCCCTCTTCCACAGTCACTGCTGTCAGAATAAGGCCCATGTGTGGAATTACAGCCATAGTAACATAGGTCTTTGTGCTTAAGGCATCACACAAGATGTAGCTCTTGTAGGACATGGTGTGACACACTGAGCTGCACTCAGTTCAGCTGAGGTAGCACATTTGTCACCTTTTCGCTTTTCTGCTCTCAAGGTGTTTGAGGGCTAAGCTGCAGTACATCAGTATGCATGCGCACAACCCTAAAAGGACCAGGTCTCAGCAGGGCTTTGTACCTCTATTTGTGTTACAATCTTGAACAGCAGGAAAGAGTCTTCGGCACTCTGCTTTCACTTCAGAATGTTACCTTGTTGCAGAACAATCAGTAGGGCACAGGGATCTAACAGGCTAAAGGCTAAATAAATAACAGCAACATACATATAAAGAGTTAACAAAATGCCTTTAGAGTTCTGGACAAGTGAGAAATGCAGGTTTGATTCTGAAATCAGGAGTCCAGAGACAGGAACACAGAGCTGGCTGCTGTTTTGACAGGCAACCTCAAGCACACAAGACACCTCTAGCCAAATACTGATGAGAGGTACTG